GACCAAGGAATACAGCAGGCAGGGCAGAGGATATGTTATGGCTCTCTAGACTAGGGTCGGGTTGTGGGAATTCTAACGGAGTACAGTCCAATCCATCACTGAGAAACCACTGCAAAAACAGTCTATCAATGAGTCAGCATTTCTTAAATGAAGTGTCTTTACCTTTAATTTGTGTATGTAAATAAGACAATTTACCAATGGAATTGGATTTTTTACTTTTAAAATAAGATAATTAGATAATGTGCACTTGAAATAAGGCAATTCTTATTTTAAATGTAAATTTTATTATTCCATTGGAAAGTGTCTCTCTTACCTCCTCAATTCAAGAACAAATGAACTTATTTTAAGAAAAAAAAACGACTTGTCTAGATTTCCTTTTTTTCAGTGCATAGAGTACGTCAGACTCATTTACTGGACTTTTGCTACAGGGGATGTGAATCCAGATCTGACAAACTGAACTAAAAGATCATCAGAAACTACATATAGGCCTGTAGTAGCTTTGGATCTGAATTAATCCACTGAAAAAGTCCAGACTTTGTGGAGGACTGACAACAGGAAAGCTATTTTTGAGACAATCCAAGCATGAGCTAACCTGAATACAAGGTGCTGTGGTCAGAAAAAGTAGGACAGAAAATGTCCAACTTGTAGATTTCTTGGGGTGGTGTAGAACTAACCCCACTGACACAACCTTTTCAAACACTTAAACAGGGTGGTGGCAGCATCATGCACTGGGAATGAATCCTTTTCCTTCTGCTTCATCCACTTTGCATCAATACACATAAAATCTAGAAAAAAAAGAATGCTGGTACTTTTGCAAGGAACTGTATTTGGGCAGCAGATACATTTTGTTTTTTACATGTCACTTTAAAAAAAATTTATAACATTATTTTACAACCCAAAAAGCGTGCAAAACTCTGACTTTGTTGACCTGATTATCGACAGGATGCAGCCAGCTGATGGGCGACCTCATCAGAACACAGCTATGCCGGCTCTGATGTTAACCTTCCCCACTCAGAGATATACATTTAGTCTTAGTTGAAAAACAAAAAAAAACAAAACAAAGATGTTAGATGTTTAAATTGGCCTAGTTTGCATGACCCACCAGGTCACAGAGCTTTACTGTTGTGTTTTTGGGACTTGACAGCTAATGCTCCTCTGGCCTCCTCATAACTGTACCACTGATGCGTTATTCTCGACAGGTGCTCCTTTCTGAAATGATCACTTCGGTATATTTAGATTTTGAAACCTGAGAGTTCAGGCCTCTGATTGGTTGTGTAAGCCACATGATAACCTGGCTAGAAAGTGCAGCTGTGTGCTGTCGCCCAGCGTTTCTCTGGAGGGAGGCTGGGAAGGCTTTGGCGGCTTGGGAGACCATTAAACATAACATAACTGGTAAGCAAAGGAAAGGATAAATCTACCAAAAAAAAAAAAAGTTTTTATACCACCTGCATGGCTTTCCATCTGCTTGGACATCCACTTTTTTTTTACTGGTTTTTGGATCTGGAAGGAGCCGGCTATGGATTAAGAAGCAAGAAAACTTTCTTACATTTTTAAGGAATAATTTAACAAGCAGGAACTTAAGGACTAAAGGAACATCAGACCCAGCTTTGGATTTACCTGAAATCACTTTGTGATCACCGCTATGATCTCTTTTAAAAACTTGATGTCTATTTTCTCCTTTTGTGTCAGCAATCTTTCAAATGTTCTTAGTTTTACACATACAATTTAAGTTAATTTCAAGATATAGCAATCAGATGCTAAAAAAGGTAGTTAATATGCCACCCTATATATAACCTGCAGCCTCAGAAGGCATTGCATGTCCGTTTGCTAAACTCAGTCAGCCAATCAGGTCCTGGCATTGGCTTACATGTCAAATAGCAGAAAGCCCTGTTGGGGCAGCTGTCGCTAACCTTCAGGAGGCACCATTCGCTCAGCTGTGTTGTGGCATTTAAGGGGGGGGGGGTCTTAAAAACCTCAGTATTGCAGATTTAACTCCTCAAACTGCTTTTTTTTAATATGTATGCATTGATAAACACATCTGACTGAGACGTTTCACACGTTTTGTTATTTTATTCAGGTGTGTGGCAAATCACAGAGTTGGAATCAGACTGAGGCGCAAGTGGCAAGTGAAGCTTCCTTACTATCAGGACATACAGTAGAAATGTATCACCGCTGTTTCTCCATATACTCCCAAAACTAAGCTGAGAGGAGGATGTTTAAGCAGTCAATGATAATTAAAACTGTTTTTTTTTAAAGGTTTTTAAAAGGAGACAAAGAACATGTATGTTTTAGAGTAATTGATGCTTCTGTTGTTGCTAATGGCTGAAAATGTAATCTCTGTTTCGTTCAGAGCTTTTAAATTTTGCCAAAATGGCAGACACTGGAGATGACTATGAGGAATTCGAGGAGGAGGAAGAGGAGGAGTTTATGGAGCAGGTAAGTGTATTTCTTATTTCATGACTCGTCTTTTCCAGTTTTTATTGTCATCAGAATAGGGAAAATTTGCAGGATTAACTTGTTTATAGTTTGAGATGCTAAGGGAAATCTTTGGGGTCTCAGTTCCATTTTTATTAGACGTTTTGGAGCAAAACCGTACATGTAATGGGTTTAAAGTTTAGGTGTTTTATCCTTTTTCTAGCGTCATATTTGGAAAATATATATTTAAAATATAATTTAGAAATGTCAGAACAGAAACATTTGTTTGGTCTATATAAATCCTTCATGTGTGACATTTAAGATGTTTTTTTCCTCCTCATTATGTGAATGAAGCATATACTTGCAATCCAGGATGTTTTATGTTTCATTACTGATGTGTCATTGTCTCTGTTTGTTGTCTCCCTGGCAACGGTTGATGAAGGAGTGAAAGCAGAAGGCTAACTATTAATCCTGTATTTCCATTGGAAATGGGGTTAAAGTTAGTCTTGTATTCCATATTCTTAATGTTGCTGATATCTTATAGGGGAGCCTAAACAACTAAGCTGTTTTCTGTTGGTTGATGTGCACCAATTATTCATTAATCTATTAATTAAATTTTTTATTTTGTTGTTTTACTCCCATATAACATATCATGGAAAATATTTGACATCTTTGCTGCAAAGATGCAAATCATTTGGGAGGTGAGACACATGGATAGGTGCGAAATTAATACGCTCTGATTTCACTAGTACTTTCATCGATGCTATGGAGAAAAAAAAAGCATTTTTGTGCATAAGATCCAGAATGGCCTGCTATCCGATCTACAGAATGGGGAGAAACATAAGTTTATTTAGAAAATACTCTATCTTGGTATTTTAGAAGTAATTCAATGTTTAAACACTATATAGCAACAATTTTATGCATATTAAATATGAATAATTCCTTTATTGAAATGCTATATCTGTTATTTGATTTTTTTTAAAGATTTTTTATTTTTATTTTATTTCCATCAAGAAACTTCTTTGACCTAAAAAAAAAAAAATGCAGCTCAGAGATCTCTAAGTGGCATTTAGACAAATTTAGAATTAGACTTCTCCAGCACATAGACGGACGCAGACGTAAAGGGGGAGAGTGTGAGGGCTTGAAAATGAGACGAGCTGCGCTGTAAATCATGCCCCAATATATTCTCTACATGCTAACCTTAGTTATGAAAGTTGCCTTGGTAGAGGGGGTCATATAAAAAAACACTGTAGGTGATGAATAACAGTTAGTGCACATTGTGTTGTAGGGATATGGAGTTGGTCTCCACCTATGGTTCTCTCCTGTCTGATAGATTTGGATATTAAGGTCTTTTGCAAGTGTTGATCTAAATGACTGAGATGTTCTTTCTCTCTGCTCTGGTTATCTCATCCAGCTGTAGGTTAAATTTTCAGGATTTTATTTAGCTGAAAATAAAATATTAGAACTAAAGATGAAAAGGTAAAACTGAATACTCTAAAAAAGTAGTTTTCATTTGGGTTACATGAGATCCTTAACGTTAAGAAGTCTGCACCTTCTCAAACTTTTTTTATATGTCGTTTTTTATAATGTTTGGACCTGTTTTGGAGGAGGATGGATGCTTACTTAGTAGGGATGCAGGATATTATGTACACATTATCTATATCAGCCGATATTAGCTTTAAAACTAAACAGATATGAGGCACAGTCTTTGTGACAAATTATGTGATAATTAGGTTTCTGGGGCCGAACCGGTGCAAGAGTCTGCAGCAGGAGAGATGCTGATGTTTTTGAAAAGTTTCAGAGCTATGTAGCTGAACAGTTATTTTTAATAACAGAAGAGGAAAAAATGATTTTAGCAAAAATTATTGAAAATTATTATTGACATTCCAATATTGCGCATCCCTTATACTTAGTTTTTTTGTTTGTTTGATTTTTTAAATGAGGTGTAAGGTCCAGTTAAGTGTGGCAAAAAATTATTTCACAATTTGTCTAATTTCTAGCTCAGAATAATATTTTTTAGAGTTACATTTTGCTCTTACAATAAACACTTTTTAGTTTCTAGATCATTTGAAACATTATTTAAATAATAAGTTCCCAAATGTTTATAGCCAACCATATTTCTCTAGTTTAAATTTTTACATTTCTTTTCATTTTTCTTCCAAAAATAAAAATCATGTTACATATTTTGCATAATCTTCATTCAAAACTCTTAGTTATGAATGAGTCAATTAAATAAAAAGCAAAAGGAAACGTTCCTTTTTGAAAACACCAAAGTGAACTTCCTGCAGTAGTATGATCTCAGTTTGAGATAATTCTAAATCGCTTCTGTATTTAAGATAAAACAGTCCATTAAAGTCCTTTATTCAGATTCTACAGAGTCATACTACTGCTGTAGCAACTGATCAAACAAAGCAACAACGTGTGAAATAAGAAATAGAAATTTTCTCATCTGGTGCGTCTAAATTTATTGCAAGGATAAAAGATTGTGAGCAGCATGGCTCAAATGACAGATAATAATAATGCATTTGATCCTCTGTTTAATAGAGGAGCTCAGGTCACCTGCTGTCGCAGTGACATCATTGTTTATTTGTAGCTGGGCTTTTTCACCCGTCTACAGCATTTCCAGTCGGTAGAAGGCTGTTTTACAGAATGCAAAAAGAAACAAAAAAAACGATATGATTTGAAAATGTGCTCTTCTGTAGACAGATGTATCTTACATAACATATAAATGAATTAATTAAAAAAAAAAAAGCTAGAGGCATTAGCAGTTAAATACCAGAGCTGTGGGAAAAATCACCCTCAGTCCTCATGCTGTTTCTCCTATTACTTTTCTGAAAACCGCCAAATTTCTTCCATATTTTGTAATATGTCGAGCAGATTACAACCACGACGTTCTCTGAGCATCATACTCAGTCCTCTCAGGTAAAACACCTCCTCCCAAGGGACAGCAGTTCAAGCAGGGCAGGACGATCTTCCCTGCATGCCTGAATGACTGAAAATGTTCTATCCAAAGTTAATGCATGCTTTGTCTAACCTTGCATGGTTTGTATGTAACTTGTAAAAACCACTTGTAAAGCTTTAAGCCTTAGAGAAAGAGTATTTTTTTTGTTTATTGATGAAGTTTTGATTCACTTGTACGGTAATTAAACAGCTTCATAAACCATTCATATAGAGCTTTCTACTTATTTTTTAGTACACCTTGTTAAACCTTAAACAAAATACTTTTTTGTGCTTTACACTGGGAAAAAAATCTATTTAAGTAATTTTTTCTTAAAATAGGTGCATTTGTTCTTGGATTGAGGAGGTAAAAGAGTAATTTTACCAATGGAACCAGGCATTTACACATAAAATAAGAAAACTCAACTGCATTGTCTTATTTCAAGTGCATATTATTTAATTATCTTATTTTAAGTGTAAAAATACTGATTCCATTGGCAAACTATCTCATTTACCTACTCAAATTAAGGGTAAATACACCTAATTTAAGACAGTTTTACTTATTTCTAGATCGTTAATACCATTTAACATAACAAAGAGACATGCAAACATATGACATTTTAATTAAAGTCACAAAATCACTAAAAGAGTGCAAATGTTTACCAAAACTTGTCAATATGCAGATCTTGAATCAGCTGGAATGATGAAAACCGACTCTGAGCGAGGACTTATGTTTTTAGATATCCTCACCTGAGATCACAACATTGTGAGGGATGTTTTAAGTTGTTTATTTTAAGTTGTTTTGATAGCCACACTGAATAATAGTAAATGTCCTCAAACATCATCATGCGTTCTGGGAGCTTGGTAGCTACCTTGAAGTTTTGCTAATATTTAGGCCCTGTCCACACAGAGACAAGGTTTTGAAACCAGTAAAACTCAGTAGTCTAGTTGTAAAAAGAAAAAAAGTGGGATGGTGTTTTTTTTTTTCTTTTTGGGAGCATACATAGCCTAATTAATATAGTCTATTAACCTAAAGCAAAATGCATGCTATGGTTGTTACATGTCAGGTACGCTGGTCATGGATCTTGACCAAGGCACCTTACAGTAGAACTGGCATGGCTATCACTGCCCCAACATACTTACAGTAGTAACCATTTAAAATTTCCACACTTTCCTTGATGGGCCCTTGGCTGATCCTTGGCTAGTCCCCTAAAATTCCTTTTTAAACATCTAAAATATTCTTTCTGTCATGATTTGTGGAAATTAAAATCTAAAGAGAAGCATTATCTCCTGGTCAGACCCTGTAATTCAGTGAAAGGGTGGAGTCAGAGTAAAAAAAATATGCACGACCAGGAGAAGGCCAGTGGCTGGAAGTTGGAGGGGATTTTGCTGCCATTTGGGTGGCTTTTGACTGGGAAGGGACATTTTAAATGGCTGCTACTGTAATGACAAATGCAGAGGAAAAATGTCCTACTGGGATCAGCTTCATAGTCATTTTATTTATTTTGCTGAGGCTGCTCGTAAGCCCACAGCCTGCCAATTGTTGAAAGGGCAACATTATTGCCATTACTGTTATTATATGGTAGAAATTTTACACATTCAGTAATTCAGGATGGTGATTTAAGAAGGGGGATGGCATGGTGGAAATGGAGTAAGATTCTTGGCATCTGTGATGATCTGGAGGGGCATCTGACCTTAATGTAAACAAGCATTAAACATAAAGCAGAAGACAATTCTGTGGTGCTCAAATTGCATTCTGGGTAAATGTAGCATAACTCCCATGGCAATAGCATGAGGGAAAGAGAATCTAAAATAGGTGGAATCAGTGACATTCTTGCTAACTATTAGACTTAAGTGTTTTTATTTTTGTCAGTTTATTTTCAAAAAATAATCAAAATTTATTGATCTCACATTGGTGAAGTTTACCTCTGCATTTAACCCATCCCCTTTGGGAGCAGTGGGCTGTCATTGTGTGGCACCCGGGGAGCAGTGTGGGGGTTAAGGCCTTTCTCAGAGAGCCTGAGTGGCAGTGGGGTTTGAACTCACAACCTCTGGATTCCAAGCTCTATGCCCTAACCACCAGGCTGCCACTCCACCTGTACCTCTGTATGCTGATCACTTAATTGTTTAGTTTTTTTAATCATGTTGGGCTTTTTTGTCTCTTTGGGTTTGTATAAATTGGTAGAAAACAAATGATATTCCTACATTTTTGGGGGATTTTATCACTTTTAATGCTAATGCTATAGTTCACTCAAAATGCACAGCCATGGTAATTTTCACTGTGTTCCCACATTGTTTTAACACCCTTCATCTCCATTTACATCTACACTGGAAAAAGGATCTACAAATAAGCGGAAAAGTTATAAATTAAGTGTATTTACCCTTAATTTGAGTAGGTAAATGAGATAGTTTGCCAATGGAATGAGTGTTTTTACTCTTAAAATAAGATAACTAGATAAGATGCTCTTGAAATGAGACAATGCAATTTTGTTTTCTTATTTTAAATGTAAAATTTATTTTTCCATTGGCAAAATGTGTCTTTTACATCCTCAATCCAAGAACAAATGCACGTATGTTAAGAAATAATGACTTATCTAGATTTCGATTTTTTTCAGTGTACTTTCATCATATTAATGCAGGCATTCATGTTGAATGAATTTAATAACTGTTGGCTAGAATTACTTTTTGTGCTGAAGGTAAATAAGTAGGGTAAAGGATAAACTCCAGTTTGTTAGTTCAGAAGGATACTGGCCTCCCTCAGTGCATCATGTTTTATTTCATTTGCTTTAGAAAATCTTTTCTGCTTTCCTGGCTGTTATTTTTGCTATGATTGATAAATCTGTAACAAATCCGTACAATGCAAAAAACAATCTAGAACTAAGTAATAAATATTATTATGCAGAATCTGAGCAGGTAAATAAGAGCACTTGCAATGGAAGTCTTAAAATAAGACTTGAAATAAGAAAATGCACTTGTTTTTTCTTATTTTAAATGTAAATTATTTTGTTCCATTGGCAAAGTTTCTCACTGTCCTCCTCAATTCAAGCAAAAATGCACTTATTTTAGGAAGAAATACCTTATTTAGATATAGTTTTTTGCCTTGTAATGAATAAAAGATAGCCTAACTTTTTTCTGTTGCTTTTTCTATGTACAGTCTGGCTTGCCCACCAGGAAAGTCAGAAAGAAGGTGAAAGTGGATACTTCCAAGTTCATGACTCCATATCTGGCCCACAGTCAGAAGATGCTGGAGCTTTTCAGCAATGTAAGGCACTCATGACTTATAATTACTTGTAAAGTATTTCTTTTGGTATTTTTTTTTTTTTTTAACTTGTCTTTCAAATTTTTATTTTTATTTTTAAATCAGATGTAAGGTCCAATTAAGTAGAGCAAAACATTATTTCACAATTTGTCCTGTTTCAAGTTTAGAAGTTTTGTTTTTACAGTAAACAAATTTCAGTTTATAGATGATTTAAAACATTATTTAAATAATAATAATAAGTTACCAAATTTCTATATTCCCTCTACTTTTAGGTTTCACATTTCTTTCTGTTTTGTTTTTACAAAAAATAAAAATTCTGTATATAATCTGAATTCAAAGCTCTTAGTTATGACTGAGTCAATTAAATTAAAAACAAAACGAAAAAAGTTTTCACATGAAATAAATGTTCACATTTCATTTTGTGTTTTTTTTCCCAAAAATAAAAAATCATGTTAAATATTATGAATTGAATAATGTTCATTTAAAGCTCTTAGTTATGAATGAACTATTAAATTATAAACAAAAGAAAACATGCATTTTTGAAAGTAAACTAAAGTGAACTTCCTGCAGTAGTATGATCTCAATTTTAAATCAATCTAAATCATTTCTGTAATTTAGATAAAACAGTCCATTATATTACATTATATTTCAGTACTTTTGTATATATATTTTTTTATTTGTCTTTGAAATGGAATAATTTTCTTAATACTGTATCTCTGACAGAATAAATACCGCCAAGCTTATGACTTGTCCAGAGGGACGCCTCCCGCTCTGTCCACTGACACCCCTGAACTGATCCGTATCAGGAAGGCCCAGGAGCAGCTGAGTGAGGTATTACAGATGGCTGTGGAGATTTAAGATACTAAAAGCTTAAGAGTCATTTGAACAGAAGATTTCTGTCTCTAATTTACACTATAAAAACGAACCAATCTGTTGCTAACAGGTGAAATACCGAATGGAGGGAAACAAGGCTCGGACAACCAGCTTGTACGGTGGTGATGCCAGGGAGGTTGTCCACGTCAAGCATGTGTCAGAGCTGGTCAGCAAGGTAAATATCCTCTACTAACCAATTCTAAAAAAAAAAAAAAAAATAAGCAGGACTGACTTTTATATTTCAATGCACTATTTTCCTTTAGGTTCTGTACAGACAGAAGTGGGATGAGACTAAGGACAGGTACCTGCTGCCTCCCGATGCTCCTGAGCTGGTTCTGGCTGTGAAGAATGCTGCTAACTATAGCAAGGTAAGTCCAATGAGCCTTTCAATCTATATATTAATTAAAAAATTAAAGGAATTCTGTTTATGAATGAAAAAAATGATGAAATAAATAATTTGTTTGCAGAAACTTTACACAGAAGCCTGGGACGAGGAGAAGATCCTGTACTACCCCTACAGTGACAGCCCTGAGTTGCGAAGGGTAGCTAAGGCTCAGGAAGTCCTCAGTGATGTAAGCTGGATACCAAAAAGGAATAAATGGAAACACAATTAAAAACTTCCTAATGTGCTGGGAGCTGTTAAAGATTTAGATAGGTGTAGTGAGCAGGAAATGCAGAATAAGATGCATGTAAATTCCTTGTGTATCACAAATTATGTGAATTAAAATTTATATTTTTGATTACTATTTTTTCCATTTATCAGAATCTTTAATGAAGATTCTAGTTTCAAATAAATGTCATTTTCTGGTAATTATTTTATGGTTTAGGCATTAAAGGCTTAATGCTGAGCGAATGTTGAATAAAAAAATAGACAAAATAGAAAAAAATCAATGCAAAAGGCTGAACCCCACCTATCTACTGATAGTTAGTGATGGTCGAGGAAATGTAATAGTGAGTTTTCATCATTACCACTGAAAGCTATATAGAGGTCTGCTCTATATCTGTAGTTAAAAGATGTTAAAGATTATAGTATGGATGTAATAAGATTTAAAAGTTAAGATGAATATTATTGGTAGTAGTTTTATTTCTTTTATGTAAAGATTTATAGTATTTTTTTTCATACAAAAAATTTATATATGATCAACAAAGCATCTTTATAATGCTAAGGAGCATTATTGAAGGTGAATTTATCATGGTTCCCTGTTATTTCTATTATTGTATTTGACTTTTATGCAAATGGTAAAAAAAAAGGCTAATTTCAAACCTTTGAAAAATGAAATAAATGAATTTGCCTCCACAGGTTAAATATAAGAAGGGACACGATGAGCGCAAAGCCAAGTACACGTCCTTGGCGGATCCTCCTGAGATGGAGCTTGCCAGGAGAGTTGCCGATCAGCGCAGCGATGTAAGCAGAACTCCATCCAAGTATATTCAATATTGATATATCAAGTAAATGTTAATGAAGCCAGAAGTACTATTGAGTTTCTTTAACTATATACGTTATCCAAAGCTCCTTTTCAATTCTATTTAAAATTTTTGGCTTTGTGCTTTGTACGATAATAGTTTTATGTTTTTAAAGAGCTTTGATGAGTTAATTAAAACATTTATTAAAGCTCAATCCAGTAGAAGAGTAAAAGTTGGACAGTAACTTACACCTGATACTATAACCGATATAAACAGACTATGGAGTGAAATGTGCACCCTTATTTTTTGCAGAGAAAATTTTTTTGCAAATGTACATTTGAAATGTTTTAATCCAGAAATGAAATTTTCAAAAGCTTATTATTATTATTATCTTTGTAAGATTAAAAAGATATATATATTTTGATGGCAAAAATAATGTCAATAATAGTGTAATAAACATAATGTCAAAGTAATAACAACAAATGCCAACTTTCCTGAAAAATAACAAAAGGGCTTCTATAAGAAATTCATGATAAACACTGAGAGTGAAATAAACATTTTTTTTGGGCTGTAGAGGCATTAATGCTAATACTTGCACTTACATATAATATAATTCATAACTAGGATTATTAACATTTTGAGTTTGTTTTTTTAACTTTTTAATTAGCTTTTTACCTTTTTTCTTGACTTGTTAACTTTTTTTTTCCAACTTAAATTACAGTAGGTAATATATCTTTCAAGGGCTTATCTAATTGGTCAAATGACAAAATCAGATGTGCAGCCATGTAGCAGGATCTGTGCTGAATGGCTGGATATAGATCTTGTGCTCCTAGACCTCACTGAGGGATGGGTGACTTCATTTATAAACAGTTCATTTTTCAAATTGTTTTTTCTTTTTCAATTTTATTTTTGCTGATTTATAGTTTCATGTTTTCAAAACTTGTCTTTATTTTTTATTGAGTTCTCAGATTTGTTTTTTTCGTTTCAAAATGTGTTTTACAGATCAGCTACTCTATATGTTAAAGGAGAGCCAATTAAAATGTTGCTGCTAACCCGCATGCAGACCAATAGAATCTTTGCTCCTCACTCCAGAGGAAAGCCGCCCCCAGAAGGGAAGAGAATGTGACCTGGAAAACACAGTTTAAAAAAAATTCATTCGTAAAACTTTTAGAATTTAGAAAAGAGCAATAAAAAAAGGAATTTAAATGTTAAAAATTAGCACATGAAGAATAATTTAAAAAAATACAATTTTAGAAAACAGCAAAATTGCTCTTAAAACCATTTTTTTCAAGTTTCATTTCTGGATGGCATTTTTTTTTTCACATTTCACATCAGAAAATGTCTAATTTGTGAACAAAATTCACTCAATTGGATAAAAGCTTAGAATATGCCTGTAGCTATGTGCAGTTATAGAAACATTGTAAACAGATATAATCCAACCCTGAGCTGCAGCTCAGAATAACTGACCAGCTGCTCTTTAAACGTTACTGTCTTTACCGAGCTGCAAGAGACAGGCTAACAATAGGTCCAAATGACTCACATTCTTGGGATTCCTTTCGTTTTTATTGAGCATCCTGAAGTGTTACTATTATTTATCCATAAGAATATAGAAACAATAAATCCCAACTCTATTAAAACCAATTCTTTGTTTCCCTCCACAGCTTAAATACAAGGAAGACTACAATAAAAACGTTAGGGGTCAGTGGTGTGAGACGCCTTATTTTGACATCGCCATTGCCAGGATGGCAATGGATAATCTCAGCGACGTGAGTATTGTTATTATCATATTATTACCTTTTTTATATACATCCACACCCTGTAACTTAATTTTGTGTCCATATATTTACAGAGAAAATACACTCAAGATTATGAGAATAAAAAAGACCAAATATACTTCATGCAAACCGACACACCTGTGTATGACTCATGCAAGAAGGCCCGTATTGCTGCTAGTGAGGTAAGCTCTAAAAAAAGGTATGTCATTGTTGTTGTTTTTTTTAGATCGTATTTCATTTGGAAGACATGACGGATAGTTGTGCCTTGTCTCAGAAAGCCGTGTGAGTCACTTTTGATGCAGAAACCCTGACAGTCTGCATGAACGTCGCTGCAAGGATTCACTGCAGTTAGAGCGCCTCACAGGACCAGCATATGACACATTTCTACATCCTTTTTTCTAGTTCATTCTATTACTATCTTTTTTTATACTCTGGAAAAAAAATATCTAGATAAATGTCTTAAATTAAGTGTATTTACCCTTAATTTGAGTAAGTAAATGAGATAGTTTGCCAATAGAATAAGTATTTTTACTCTTAAAATAAAATAATGCAATTGGGTTTTCTTATTTTAAATGTAAATTATCTTTTTCCATTGGCAAAATGTGTCTTTTACCTCCTCAATCCAAGAACAACTTTTAGTATTTTTACTCTTAAAATAAGATAATTAGATAACATGCAACTGAAACAAGATATTGCAGTTGCTTTTTCTTATCTTTGATGTAAATTGTCTTGTTCCATTGGCAAAATGTATCTTTTACCTCGTCAATCCAAGAACAAATGCACTTATTTTAAGAAACAAGGACTTATCTAGATTTCCATATTTTTTTCCAGTGTAGAATGATCGGTTTGGCACCCTTTCTGCTTCAGTTAGTCCTTAAGTAAAAATATGGCTTTATCATGACATGGCATTTATGCAAGATTTAAAACAAGATTTAACTTCATTTTATTTAAAACAGGAAAAGCAATAACTATTGTGGTAATAGATAAGAATTTTATTGGTGCTTTTAATGTTTTTATTTGGATTGCTGTACATTCACACTGTAAAAACGATCTAGAAACGTCTTAAAATAAATGTATTTACCCTTAATTTGAGTAGGTAAATGAGGTAGTTTTCCAATGGAATGGGTATTTTTACTCTTAAAATAAGATGATTAGATAATTGTGTTTTCTTATTTTAAGTGTAAATTGTCTTTTTCCATTGGTAAAATGTCTCTTTTACTACAATGCACTTAACTTAAGAAAAATTACTTCTCTATATATTGATTTTTTTTTCAGTGCACTGGAAAAACTATCTAGAAATAAGGAAAAATTCCTTAATTCAGGCCTTTATTTTAGTAGGTAATGGTGATTTACCAATGGAATGAGTACACTGAATAAAATAATGCAGCTCTTTTGGCATTTATGTAATCATATTTGGTAACTTTAACACCATTGTTTTATGTCCAAACCTGCTAACATGAAGCAATAGCGTTAAAGTAACTAAATATGATTAAGTAAATACCAAAAACAGTTGCATCATTTTTTCAGTGTAATTTATTTTACTCTTAAAATAAGATAATTAGATAATATGCGCTTGTAATAAGACAATGCAGTTGTTTCTTCTTATTTTAAATGTAAATCATCTTGTTCCATTGGCAAAGCACTTACCACCTCCATTCAAGACAAAATGCACTTATTTTAAGAGAAAATTAAATTATAATTTTTTTTTGCAGTGTTTGCTTGAGCCAAAATATAAAATAACCACCCACTGTTATATTTTGGGAATAATATTGTAGATTTTATTTTTTATAGAGCATAATGTAAACGATCTGATTCTTTCTAACTAGTTAGGCTCGAAGGAGCAACGCTATGATTTCTACACAAAGCAGCTGAAGACGTTTCCGTGGGATCAAATTACTCTTCCCTGTGATAAAAAGAAAAGTGCAATAGTTCTCTTTCAGCCAGCTGAATGGCAGTGCAGAGCAAGAAATTGGGGAGGGATCGCTCTTTAAAAAAGATAGCTGGGGAAAACTCAAGTCCTGTTGAAATGGGCTCTAATATGAAGGAGAAGGATACTAATATTTTTAATGCTTTTTACGTGCTTAAAGTGGTTTTAGCAGCTGGTTGTTTTGCTAATCAGCATTATCTGCTAATGAGTGACCCATGTGTTCCTCTGTATTCACTCGCATGTTCCTCTTTCTTTTTTTTAGGTCCAATACAAGAAGGAATATGAAAAGTCAAAAGACCAGTGTGATTACAATACGCTACCTGCCACAGAGAATCCACTCCTCAGACAGCTCAGATATGCTGGCACCATCCTTAGTGACGTGCGTCCTCTTCCTTTACTTTGGTTTTGTTTTTTAATACTGTCCAATTTAAAAAAAAATATGAATTAAAGAATTCACAAATCCAAATATCTGGTTATTTTTTTGCTGTTTCCTTTACAGAAAGTATATAAGGCCAGCTATGAGAAATCCAGAGGTTTCAGCATCAACTACTGCGACACACCAAAGTTCCAGATGGACTCTGTGCTCAAAAAGTTCTCTGACGTAAGATTCAGTCAGGATCTCAGACACTACACTTTTACTTTAAATGCCTGTTTCTCTATGACATGCTGCTCTAACTCCTGGAATATTTTAGGCACATTACAAGGAGAAGTATGAAAATGAGGTAAAGGGTCACTACATTGGCAGCTATGAAGACCTCTATATGCTTCACTGCCAGAAAGTTGAGGAAATGAAGAGTGAGGTGCGTATATGAACAGTTGTTCTGTTCAGGTTTCTTAAAATTATTATTTCTTTAATTCATTCACAGAAAATAGCTCTAAACTGCACATTTTCCCCCCAGCATACATATAAAGCGGATTATGAAGACATAAAGACGAGATGCTTCTTTCCTCAAACTATTACACCTGAATACGAGGCTGTGAAGAAGCTTCAGCAGTGCAGTGATGTAAGTAATAGTTATTGTCCAGTGAAGTGCATCAGAGCTCTGGATGACGCTCTGGTCTACATAGTTGTATTTGTGACACATTGTGTTTTTATTTGGTGGTTTACAGAAAGTTTACCGTCAACATCCAGACACAGTGAAGTTTACACAAGTCGTGGATTCGCCAGTCCTCGTCCAAGCAGCCATCAACGCCAAGCAGCTAAGTGATGTATGCATCATGTTGGATCATTCTGCACATTACAGTTTATTTACTGCCATCAGAACAGAGCCAGTTAAACATGCATTCATATGGGGATTAAATTCATGTTAATTTTGGTGATGCTGAATAAATTTCTCTGTTATAAAGAAAGGGTTACATACGTACCTGTACTCCCACTGAGATTGTATTAAAACGCTTTACAATCTTTTTAATATAACTGACCTAATATTTGGTTCATAGACTGATTTTTTTATTGTGAACTGCCCTAATCTCTTTTCTTTCATGTTAGTATCTCAGTAAACTACAGTGTTATTAGAAAGAGTAAAGTAAGTAAGTAATGTTTATATATATTCCTTTCACAGACATAGAGGTCACAAACTGCTTCACAAAATTGTAATGCAAATAAAATACAGTACAAAGCACATTAGATAGATTATTTTTCCCCATCTTCCAAGCCTTTCTTTTGATTATGTTCCCTTTCTACTTAGTGTTAATGAAAACATATTTAATTTCTTAGATTAGAATATTACACTGGAAAAGCGATCTAGAAATAAGTAAAAATTTCTTAAATTAAGTGTATTTATCCTTAATTTGAGTAGGTAAATGACATAGTTTGCCAATGGAATAAAGTATTTTTACTCTTTAAATAAGATAACTAGATAATATGCACTGGAAATAAGACAATGAAATTGTTTTTTTTCTTATTTTTAATGTAAATTGTCTGGTTCCATTGGCAAAATGTCTATTTTTACCTTCTCAATTCAAGAAAAATTAACTTATTTTAACAAAACAAACATAACTTACGTATCTAGATTTCGATTTTTTCCAAGAAATCTGGGATTAATGTGGAGTATGTCACTGCAAAACGTTCTAAAGAAGAGAAAAATTTGTTAAATCAAATGTATTTATCCTTAATTTAAGCAGGTAAATAAGATAATTTGCCAATTGAATGAGTATTTTTACTCTTAAAATAAAATAATTAGATAATATGAGGCAATGCAATGTTTTGTTTTGTTTTTTATTTTAAATCTAAATTGTCTTGTTTCATTGGCAAAGTTTCCCCCTTTCCCCCTCAATTAAAAAAAAATGACTTAGTTAGATTTATATTTTTTGCAGTGCATAAAAGACTGCAGTTGTTTTTTGTTATTATAAATGTAAATTGTCTTATTCCATTCAAGAAAAAAAAATGTATTTTAAGAAAAAATGACTTAAGATGTAAAGGTTAGCTTTTTTCAGAGGGAGTTTTAATGGGACTGACACACTCAGCTGAAGCCCATATCTAATGAACTGAGATGTATCTGTAAGATGCTTTGTTTATTTATGGTTAAATGTTTGATTAAATATCTTAAAATATCATCAACTAGAGCCTTAGATCCAACTCTCCTATTAATGTGGATCACCGTTAACTGTATGCAGTCTTCCATGTAGCCCAGATGTCTTTCTATGGGCTCCATGGAAACTAGAGAGCCATTTCTCAGCAGTATAAATAGAAACAAGCATTGGCTCTGTCATCAGATAGGAGGCCTTGGTAAGGAAGAGTTTGACAATCTGTGTCCAGTGCTTTACTGCCCTCCAATGGTGGGAGAATTAAATTATGCTTTTTATAACCAGAGGAGTGTAGGTTGGGTTTTAATTTATACATTTTTCTCTTGCAGCTAAACTACAAGGCAAAGTTTGAAGAGACAAAGTTTAAGTGTAATCTGCCCCCAGATTATCCCTTCTTCATCCAGTCCAGAGTCAATGCCTTTAACCTGAGTGACGTAAGTAAATCCTACACACCTCTACAACTGAATCACTTTTTACAGTGGTTAATTATTTAGTTTCATGAATGAATGTATATTGTCCTTGCAGAGTTGTTATAAATATGACTGGGAGAAAACTAAAGCAAAGAAGTTTGAAATTAAGGGTGACGCCATCCCAATCCTTGCTGCCCGTGCTCACACAAACATTGCCAGTGACGTAAGTACGCTACAGCATTAACCCCTATCAGTTTCTGCAATTTTTTATCTGTATTTTTCCATTTTAAAATTATATCTTTATGTATTATCATTCTCTTTTTAACACTTATTTGTTCCCCTTTCAGGTTAAGTACAAAAAGGAGTATGAAAAGAACAGGGGACAGATGATCGGAGCCCTTTCTATTAATGACGACCCCAAGATCTTGCACTCGGTTCATGTGGCCAAAATCCAGAGTGATGTAAGTCATTCATTTAAAAGCAATAAGCTAAAACTGATTCTAATGAAAAAAGAAATCATACTTAAACAAAATCCACAATTTATTCACAGCGTGAATATAAAAAGGACTATGAAAAAATCAAGACCAAGTACCATACGCCACTAGATATGATGTCTGTCACTTTGGCCAAGAAGTCCCAAGCAATTTCCAGCATGGCCGGCTACAGGAAGATCAGCCCCAACTACTTTATGCCTTATGACAGTGTGCTGCTGGACCTGGCCAAGAGAGCCAACAGCATCCAGAGTGATGTAAGTGGACAGGTTTTACAAGAAACTGTTTTTATTTATAATGTAAGATATGTCTCTTTATGATGCAGCTAAATCTCTGTTTTGTTTCCTTAATCAAAGAACGAGTATAAGGCTGAATACAACAACTATGTTAAAGGTTCCCCATGGGTGCCATATGGCTCCATGGATGTAGAAAAGGCAAAGAAAGCAGCTGAGATTCTCGACGAGGTACGTGTTTTCAACTGCCTCCTCTTCCTGTTTATATTTGATACCTTGTGAAAGAATTTAATTAAATGCACCTTTTTCTTTACTTCGTTTAGAGAAAATACCGGCAGCACCCGGACACCATCCCGTTCACAGCTATAGATGACCATCCCATAATGCTGCAAGCTAAAGTCAATCAGCTTCAGAGGAGTGATGTGAGTCTACTGTCCATGAAATGCTGTGATGTATAATAAAAGGAACATTTGTTTAGTTTTTTTAAACGTCTTTTTGCTCCTCAGCTTTTCTACAAGAGAGGTCTCGAGGAGGTCCATCAAAAGTACTCTCTGCCTCCTGATGCTCCAGAGTTCCTCCAAGCCAAGTGCAATGCCTACAACATCAGCAAGGTGGCGCATTAAAATACATCTATCTATCTCTGTTTAGAGCCATTTAAATGCCTTTCTCTGCACAGAAATAGAGTCATACTCAAAGGGGAACATACAAACCCAGGACCCTTTCCCAATCAGACAACAGTCTTAAAACACGGCTGCACTGTTGACCCTGCAAACAAAAACTCATGACACCTAGAATCCATAAAAATGAAGCAAACCAAGCCTTTTTTTGTGTAAGCTTTTTTAGCTTCAGGCCAAGAGTGGAAATGAATAAGAAATACTAATATATGTTATGTGAATATAATGTAAATTAAATGCATTTTTTTTAATTAGCTAAATTGCATCTAATGATAACTGAAAAAATATATAATTTTTAACAAGTAATGTTATTTCATACCCTAATAAGTGATTTTTCAAAAAATGTTGCTAAATTGAAAACAGTGGATGATATTAAAACAGTGGTTTTCAAAATAGTTTTTATTATTATTTCTGCCACTGATTTGTTATTGATAAGCAACCAGATTATGGAAAGGTGCAGCAAAGTCATTCTGCAGCATTTTGCTAAATATGAAACACTTCATTAATGAAAATACAATGACTTTTTTAACAGCACATGTTGTAGATCGATTTCTAACACCGTTCAATTTTTAATATTGTTTTTATTGCAAAAAAAAAAAAAAAAAAAAAGAGCCAGCAGTCTGTAGGCCTCTGTAGTAAGGCCATTTTCTCCAGATAGCTTAATTTGGGTTACTGAGACGATAAAAAGTAGTGCTTGTTCAGAATCATGTTTTGACTAAATTCATAAGTAAAAAAGTAAAAAGTAATAAATGAATCAATACATTAAGATTGAAAGTGTTGTTATTCCTTAGGTGCCTAATGTTGCTAATTGGCATCATATCAAAATGTACACTCATGGGATCTAATTAATTAATTTTATGTTGTAAAACTCTGCTGGATGAATCCATACTTAATTTGTAATCGGTGTTTTTGTTTTGTGCACATTTGGAAAAAAACAAAACATAATCAGACATTGACCTTAACAACAAAGCTACAAAAAAATTATTCAATGGTTTACAGTACTGCGCACAAAGTTTACCAATTTATACATTTTAAACATGTTCTTGCTTGTTTTATTATTCTTCTAGTTTCTTTGACCTTTATTAATGTTTCAATTTGAAATTTCAGAACTTCTACAAGTACGCTTGGGAGGAGACGATCGCTAAAGGTTACGACATGAGGCTGGATGCTATCCCGATTGTTGCTGCCAAAGCAGCCAGACATGCTGCCAGCAACGTAAGTCATCTGAAAAGTGGTTAAATACACCATACTTTTGATATACTGGCTTTTTTTCCCAGCAACACACAATTTCCTACAATCCAGTTTGTGCTTTTACGCTCAGGTCCAGTACAAAAAGGCGTATGAGAAGGAAAGAGGCCACCATGTTGGCTTCCGCAGCCTGCAGGACGATCCTCTACTGGTTCACTACATGAATGTGGCAAAAATACAGAGCGACAAACTTTACAAGAAGGACTACCACAAAGCAAAGCTGAAGTACCACACCCCAGTGGACATGATGAGCATGGCTCATGCTAAACATGCCACAAAAGTGCAGACATTTGCTGGCTACAAGCAGCACCATCACAATTATTTTCTCCTGCCTGATGCAATGAATCTTCAGCTTGCTCGCACCATGAACTATAATGCCAGCGACGTAAGTTTACGAGATTACAGAAATGCTTTTGATGTGAAATCTACCAAAACTTATAATAAGTCAAATAATGTTTTGGTTTCTCATATTATTGCAGAACAATTATAAAATGGATTATGAGACCTCCGTAAAAGGAACAGGCTGGATTCCGATCGGTTCCCTGGATGTGGAAAAAGCCAAGGCGGCAGCAGCTGCTCTGGATGAGAGAAAATACAGGCAGCATCCTTCCACTCTCAAATACACCAGCGACATGGACTCCATGAACATGGAGCTGGCTAAAACCAATGCAAAGATAATGAACGTGGTAAGAAGAGGGAAATCTCATCTCTTCTTTTTAAGCTGCAATTGTCTTGTAAGATATCCATAACCAAAGCTCTTTGTTTAACTCATTGCAGAAGGAATATAAAGCAAGTGGAGAGAAGTTCATGCACACTTATCACCTCCCATCTGATACCCCTGAACTGATGCAAGCCAGGTACAATGCTGTCAACATTAGCCAGGTCAGTGTTTCCCTGTTTTCATGAATCCACAATTCAACAAACAGAAAGAAAATAGTTACTATGATGGTAACATGTATTGTGGTGTTTTATATGTAGAACCATTACACCTATGCACATCGCCAAGACATCCTTAAGGGACATCACATGAAGCAAGACGCCATTCCAATAGTAGCTGCCAAATCATCAAGAGACATTGCCAGTAATGTAAGTTCCTGATTTTCCTCAAATAATTCAATATTCTGGTGTTTCGTGATATCATCACAACTTTATTAATGATACTATATTTATTTTCTTAGTATAAATATAAGCTGGCTTACGAGAAGGCCAGAGGCCACCATGTTGGTTTCCGCAGCCTTCATGACGACCCTCTGCTGGTGCATTACATGCAAGTGGCCAAGATGCAGAGTGAAAAGAACTACAAGAAGGACTACCACAAGTCCAAGCTGAAGTACCACACCCCAGTGGACATGCTGAGCGTGATTCATGCAAAGCAGGCCTCTACCGTTCAGACCATGGCTGGATACAGGAAAGTCCCTCACAGCTTCCTCCTTCTCCCCGACAACATGCACCTGCAGCTGTGCCGTAACATGATGGAGATTCAGAGTGACGTATGTTACTCTTCAATATGACGTTACATCCTGTGGTTAGAGGGACATAAGACCTCTGATTTTTCTTGTTTGTTTTCCTTTGCAGAATGTCTACAAATCAGAATACAACAACTATGTCAAAGGTACAGGCTGGATACCCATCGGTTCTTTAGATGTTGAGAAAGCCAGGAGTGCCAGAGCTGCCTTAGATGACAGAGGCTACCGCCAGCATCCAAGCTCCTTGAAGTACACCAGCCAGACTGACGACATGAACATGTCTCTGGCTCTGGCCAACACAAAGCAAATGGACAAAGTATGAGCTATTTATTTCTTATGTCAGTTCTTTCAGAACTTGACCAAAATAGCTTTAAACAAACCCTTTATTTTCCTCCCTGTAGATTGCATACAAGGCATCTGGGGAAAAATTCATGCACACCTATCATCTGCCAGCCGACAGCCCGGAGTTCCTCCAGGCTAAATTCAACGCCCAAACCATCAGCGAGGTTAGCGCACCCAAAGTAACGCCACAGGGTTAACAGAATGCTGTTTGTACATCTTTGTGACACTTTTTCTGTTTACAGAATCGATACAGGCAGCAATGGCTGGAAGATATTGCCAAGGGATATGACATGAAGTCTGATGCTATTCCTATTCTCCATGCCAAGCAGGGCAGACATATCGCCAGCAATGTTTGTATTTTCTATATTCATTCTAGCATAAATCTATTGTTTTAAAAAGGCTTTAATAGCACTTTACATGTAACTTCTTCATTTAGGTTCAATACAAGAAGGAGTATGAAAAGGAAAGAGGCCACCATGTGGGCTTCCGCAGCCTGCAGGACGATCCTCTCCTGGTTCACTACATGAATGTGGCAAAAATACAGAGTGACAAGTTTTACAAGAAGGACTACCACAAAGCAAAGCTGAAGTACCACACCCCAGTGGACATGATGAGTTTGATCCATGCCAAGCAGGCCTCTGCTGTTCAGACCATGGCTGGATACAAGAAGATCCCTCACAACCACCTGCTCCTACCTGACAACATGCAGCTGCAGCTGTGCAGAAATATGAATATAATCTCCAGTGATGTTAGTATTAGTCATATAGACAACTTATTCCTCATATATACAATTTTTAATTTCCAAATAAATTAATGCCGTTTGCTCTTTTTTTCAGGTTAATTACAAATCTGACTGGAACAACTATGTCAGAGGTATCGGATGGGTACCAATTGGGTCCCTCGCAGTTGAAACTGCTAAAGTGGGCGGTGAAATTCAAAGCGAGAGGAAGTACCGACAGCATCCGTCTAACTTCAAATTTAGCAAACTGATGGACTCTATGGATTTGGCTCTGGCTACTGCTAACAACCAGATCATGAACAAGGTTTAAAATCTGAGATGTGACCAAATGCATGCTTTTAAAAAAACAACAACAAAAAAAATATGTTTATGTTTTTTAATCTTTAGAAAGCGTACACTGCTGCCTGGGAGAAAGACAAGTTGACCATCCACATTATGCCAGATTCTCCAGAAATCCTCCTGGCTAAGGCAAATGCTCTGACTATGAGCGAGGTAAGCCATTTTTTTTTTTACAACAGAAACTGATGCTGAAAAATATTAGCAAATTTAAGCTAGATCTACAGTTATTGTTTTTTTGTATAGCTTGTATCAATCTAAATTCTTTTCTCTAGAAACTTTACAAAGCCGGTGTTGTGGAGATGGCAAATAAAGGCTACAACCTCAAAGCTGATGCAATTCCAATTGTGGCGGCCAAGTCTGGTACAACCATTGCCAGTAATGTAAGTTAAAATCAAACTAATTTACCAGATCAGTAATACGGTTTGCAACAAGCGTTCATGCATTACAAACAACTCTATTTTCTCTTCTTTTCTTTTTTTTTTTTACCAGTACAAGTACAAGCTGGCTTATGAGAAGGCCAGAGGCCACCATGTTGGCTTCCGCAGCCTCCAGGACGATCCTCTACTGGTTCACTACATGAATGTGGCAAAAATACAGAGTGAAAAGCTCTACAAGCAAGACTACCACAAAGCAAAGCTGAAGTACCACACCCCAGTGGACATGATGAGCGTGGCTCACGCTAAACATGCCACAAAAGTGCAGACATTTGCTGGCTACCGGAACATCCAGCACGCTAATACTCTCCTCCCAGATGCTATGGGCCTGGAGCTTGCACGTAACATGAATACCATTGCTAGTGATGTGAGTTTGCAATCCAAAACATGTTCACTGTACAAAAGCCGTGGATGGATCAGAGAGTAAAAGATCAATTCCTGACATGTTGTGTTTGCTTGTAGTGGAATTACAAGGCTGAATGGAACAACTATATTAAAGGTATAGGATGGGTCCCAATCGGTTCACTTTCAGTAGAAACGGCCAAAGTCGGCGGTGAGATTCTCAGTGAGAGGAAGTATCGTACCCACCCGTCTAAATATAAGTACAGCAAATTAATGGATTCAATGGACATGGCTCTGTCTACTGCCAATAATCAGATCATGAACAAGGTGCCTTCTTGTTTATTTAAACTCTGACTAATAAAAATCTCATGTTATAGTTTCTTATATAGAAATTATTTATTGTTTTCTTCTTTTTTTTCTACAGAAAGCATATACTGAAGCATGGGAGAAGGACAAACTGAAAGTCCATGTCATGCCAGATGCTCCTGAGATTGTCCTGGCAAAAGCCAATGCTCTCAATATGAGCAATGTACGAATTGTCATCTAAAATTACATTTAAAGTAATCCATTTTACCTGAATACAGTTTATATGCTTTGTTACCTTATTTGGATTGTTTTTAACAGAAACTTTACAAAGCCGGTGTAGTGGAGATGGCTAATAAAGGCTACAACCTCAAAGCTGATGCAATTCCCATTGTAGCTGCCAAGTCTGGTACTACTATCGCCAGCAATGTAAGTCATCAAAATGTCCATTTATAAGATAAAATAGCACACCTCTGTGGGGCTGTGTGATTAAAATTGTTTTCCACCCTCACAGTACAAGTACAAGCTGGCTTATGAGAAGGCCAGAGGCCACCATGTTGGCTTCCGCAGCCTCCAGGACGATCCTCTACTGGTTCACTACATGAATGTGGCAAAAATACAGAGTGAAAAGCTCTACAAGCAGGACTACCATAAAGCAAAGCTGAAGTACCACACCCCTGTGGACATGATGAGCATGGCTCACGCTAAAAATGCCACAAAAGTGCAGACATTTGCTGGCTACAGGCAGATCCATCATACTAATGCCCTCCTGCCAGATGCTATGGGCCTGGAGCTTGCTCGTAACATGCAGTTTATCGCCAGTGATGTATGTGCAAAGTTGTAATCTAAATTTGTTGACTGTGTTGTAGGTTTTTGTCATATAACTGACTATTCCCTGTGTTGTCTAGAACGAGTACAAGAAGGAGTATGAGAACTACATCAAGGGAGTAGGATGGGTTCCGATTGGTTCCCTTGATGTTGAGAAAGCCAAAACTGCTGGGTTGGTTCTCAATGAAAAACTTTACAGAAAGCATCCCAGCAACTTCAAATTTGTAAAAGACATGCACTCTATGGACCTGGTTTTGGCCACTGCCAATAACCAAATCATGGACAAGGTACTTTACAGCACTTTTGATTCATTGACCAAATTCTTTTGAGTCTTTATTAAAGCCAAGTATTTGCTATTTTGTTTTAGAAATCCTACACCAAAGCTTGGGAAAAAGACAAGACTTCTATCCATATAATGCCAGATGCAATGGATGTTGTTCTAGCCAGGGATAACAAGAAAAACTACAGTGAGGTATAACACATTCATTTCCTACACATTGTAACTCATCTTTCATTATTCGCAATCGATGCAATTCCTGCCATGTTTTATGCAATCCAATTTAAAGTTGTGGAAAATATTTCTCATTTTAGAAACTATACAAACTGGACAATGAACTAGCCAAGAAGAAGGGCCATCACCTTCGCTCTGATGCCATTGCAATTCAGGCTGCCAAGGCCTCGACTATTATTGCTAGTGACGTAAGTGTTTGTTTCTATCTCTTCAAAGTAACTTTTTGCTTTTTTCGTTGTGTAGAAATTACAAACTCAGTCTCTGTATGCTCCCTGCACAGTACAAGTACAAGACTGGATACAGGAAGCAGGTCGGTCACCACATTGGAGCCCTCAGCATCCAAGATGACCCTCTACTCATGCTGGCTCTGAACTCAGCCAAGATCGCCAGTGACGCTCTTTACAAGAAGGACTTCAATCAGTCTAAGACCAAGTTCCACCTCCCGGTGGACATGCTGGCCTTTGAACTGGCCAAGAAGAACCAGATTCAGGTCAACCACGCCAATTATATAACACGCCTGCACAACTGGACATGTCTGCCAGATTCAAACGATGTAGTCCAGGCCAGGCATGCTTACAGCTTGCAGAGTGACGTAAGTATGAACTCTTTTTTTTTCAAAAATACATAACTGCAACCATATGTTTTTGAAGACTTATCACTAGAGTATGAATTTCTTCTCAGGCTGTGTACAAGGAGGATTTGAAGATGTTGCAGGGCGTTGGATGGGTGCCTATAGGTTCTCTGGATGTGGAAAAGGTTAAAAAAGCTGGGGAAATCCTGAGTGAAAAGAAATATCGTCAGCATCCGAGCAACTATAAATTCAAGAGCACAACTGAGGACATGCCAATGGTGCTGGCTAAGGCTAATAACCAGGTTATTAATAAGGTATAAAGGAAAACCTTTTGACTATTCTCTTCAAATGTGGAATTTTCGTGGACAGTGTTTTTATATCTATATATATATTTTTTTTATTGAAAGCTGAATCTCTTAAATTGGCCCCTAATTTACACAACTTTCTTAGAAGAAAATCTTACATAAATGCATGCATCATCTATATAAAAGTGTGACATGTTGTTTGACATATTAGTTCAGGTTTTATTCCCCTAGTAAGACACATTGTTTTATTTATTGTTTTTTCTTTAATAATAACAGTTAAACTCCATGTAGCTAATTTGGGCTAAGCCACACTGATGTTCCTCGAAGTTTAGATATAATACATTTCAAGGTTTTTTTTTAAAAGTTCAGTATAGGCTACCGGACCTGAAGTTTTCAAGAAGATGTTTCGCCTATCATGAATATACTGTAGGTGTAACAAAGAATTTGGGGGAACAAAATGTGGCTCTGATCCCTCCGACTGGATTGGCCATGGAGGTCACCTGGCTGTGTTAATGGTCGTTAGAGGGGTTCTGATGGGTCGTTAACTCCCTCGTCAGAGTGGTTTTGGTCACATGCCTCATTATTGTGTGAGCCACTTGAGTGCAGATGAGAGGTGAATCTTCTGGGTATTGTTTCCTAAAAGTGCTTTGCAAGCAGGTTAAACGTTATGTCTAAGACTATGTCTAAGACCACCTCCTCTGATGAGAGTTTTTCCAGGGTAACAAAGATGGCTTCCTTAACCCCTCTCTCAAACCATCTTTCTTCCTTGCCAATGTGGACATTGTTGTCCTCAAACGAGTGTCCTTCATCCTTCAGGTGTTAGAGAACAGCTGAGTTCTGTCCTGAGGAGTTGGCACTCCTGTCTTGAGCCATGCACTTTTGTAGTGGTTGCTTGGTCTCGCCAATATACAGGTCTTTGCACTCTTCACTGCAGTGAACAGCGTAAACCAGGTTGTGGGCGTCTTATTTTTGGGGTGAACCAGTTTTTTTTTTCTCAGGGTGTTGCCGGGTTTGAAGTGCACAGGGATCCGGTGCTGGTTGAAATCCTCCTTCTTTGGAGACTCCAGCAACACCTGGAATGATGATGTACCTTCTTCTTTTTTCTTCCCTCTCAGCAGAACTCTAGTGGCTCGTTTTTATTGACAGTAGGCTGACAGGAAAGGGGGCATGAGAGATGGGAAGAGACATGAGGGAAAGGACCGCAGGCCGGACTCCAATCCGGGTCGCCCGCGTCGAGGACCAAGGCCACAATACATGGGTTGTGTGCGCTAACCACTGCGCCACCAAAGCACGCCCAGCAGACCTCTTGTTGGTTTTCAAAAGGGGAAGATCACAGTTACAGATTGTTACACCTACAGTATAATAATCTCTGTGCTCCCCACCACTAGTTATAACTGAAAAAGCCTCTTGGATGAGTGGCAAAACATCTTCATCAAAACTACACGTCTAGTTGCCTTAACTGAACTTGTTTAAGCTTGAAAATGACCTGGAAGACTGAGAATCTTCACAGATGCATTTCATAGTGAATTTCTTTTGGAAAACTTTTTTTCCCAGCTTTGACTAAATTTTGTATCTTTACAGAAAGCCTATATTGAAGCCTGGGAAAAAGATAAGACCAGCATCCATGTCATGCCTGATGCCATGGATATCCTTCTGGCTAAAGCAAACAAAGTCATCTACAGCGAGGTAAATACTCTTATACATTCAAAACATTATTCTCCAAAAGTTGAACCACCACTCTATATGTATAATGAGATGACTGAAGTAATTTCTCCTATTTGTATATACAGAAAATGTACAAGCAGGCAAATGAAGAGGCAAAGAAGAAGGGATATGATCTGCGAAATGATGCTATTTCCATTATTGCAGCAAGGGCCTCCAGGGATATTGCAAGTGATGTAAGTTCCCACACTTATCACTCAATCCTCATAGATAAATTACTCTAAAAAGGAAGTGGTTTGGTAACTGATGTTTAAGTAACACATTCTTTTATATCTCTGACATTTTAGTAAGTGTTGTTCTTCTTTGACAGTACAAGTACAAGACTGGATACAGGAAGCAGGTCGGTCACCACATCGGTGCCCGCAGCATCCAGGACGACCCTCTGCTGATGCTGGCTCTGAACTCAGCTAGGATCGCCAGTGACGCTCTGTACAAGAAGGACTTCAACAAGTCCAAGACCAAGTTCAACCTCCCAGTGGACATGTTGAATCTTGAACTAGCCAAGAAATGCCAGCAGCAAGTCAATGACTTCAACTATAG